GCGGACAAGAAACATGGTTATCATCAGATAGAAACACTTAAAGTTTGTCATGATTAACATTAGATAGAAACACTTAAATTTAGTGAGATCTACAATTTTGAAGAATTATTTGTCATTTAAACATGTGATGCCTTTTGTCGATTTGGATAGTGCAATCTCAGTACATGGTACTGTGGTAGCAGGTATCGCCCTGCAGAGATGGGTTTGGCCTAAAGAGAGGATGTAAAGAATTCAGGGAGAGATATTGTACAAGTTCCATATACATCTTTCAGGGAATATTATTTCTATGTATTAGAAGAGCTTGGAAGTCATACTTGTTTGAAAATTTGGAGCATAACTAAAAGTGAATGCATGAAACTCCATTCTACAGATTAAGTAATTCTAGGGACCTATCTAAAAGTTGTGTTTTATATGATACTGTCCTGAATTATATTTGCATCTATTTGTTTATTTATTTTTATTTTTTGAGAAAGATCTATTCTTTTATTATTTGACTTGTTTGAGGATTAATCTTACAGTAAATTTAATGGTTAACAGTAGTTCATATAGGGAAAGATCATCTCAATATTTATATATTGATACAAAAAAACGAAAGTGAATAATGTAGTACCCCTATTTCTTCTTGGATTCTTAAAAAAAAATATTTATAATGATTTTTAATAATTGTTTTCGATATTTTTTTAATGTAGAAACTGACCGATTCGAACAATTGCCAATCTGAATCACCGATCTGGATTGGTTTTTGTGGTGCCTAATCTGGAGCACCTATCCGTTATTTAAACCCTTGCTTCAAACAATGCTAAAACATGGCATTTCTGTATCCAAGATCTTTATAATAGCCCGAATTTATTTTCATCTTTAATTATAGGTCTAAAGTGTAACAATAATGTAGATTGATCAGATCTTTAAATACTTGAAAATTGACAATCTAGAGAGTAAGTGATACGCGATACACTATTTTCATGATTCATAATCTATTTTTCTTATGTCCATATATCATGAGGTTGAGATAATCAAATTGAGGGTTTTTCAAAATCAAAACAAACTTTTCTAAAGAATTTTTATGGAGCGATTTAATTTGATTAATTAGGGCCTCACACTTATTAAATTTTTTTCCAATATAGAAACCTCTGGAAACCTCCCAATATTTTTTATACCATACTATTCACCCAACACTACTTTTATTTGCAACCACCTTTTAAGTAAACAAAAGTAATCTTTCTTTTTGAAATACCCCTTATTTTAACCCATAGTTCTATAGGAAAAGTATATAAAATTACTCTTTGTTTTTTATACAAAGAAGTCACAATCTATAGTATTTATCGTTTATACAAAGAAGTCAAACAAAGCTGAAGGGCAAGTTCTATGGGACAGCTGTGAGACCAGCTTTGCTCTATGGGGCAGAATGTTGGGTGCTCAATAAACAATATATCCAAAGAATGAGTGTAGCAGAGATGATGTTGAGATGGATGAGTGACAAGACGAAAAGGACAAAATTAGAAACGGATCTATTTGCCAAAATTTAGGTGTGGAACCAATCGGATGAGAGAGAGTAGACTTCGGTGGGCTGGCCATTTGTGCTGCTGACCCAGTACAACACCTGTTCGAAGGTACGAGTTAGTTCAAGTGGAAAGATTGAAAAGGACAAGGAGTAGGCCCAAAAGGATGTGGCTGAAAGTAGCTCGAAAAGATATATGAATTTTTTGTCTCACTAAGGGTATGGTATTTATTAGAGCACGCTGACGAATCAGGATTCGTGTAGCCAACCCCAAATAATTAGAGAAAATGTTGTGATAATGAGGAAGATGAAAATAAAATCATAATTACTTTGTCAGTTGGATTTCAAATTGAATGGTTGTAAAAATGTTATTGACAAGACTCAAAATTAAAAAAAAAAAAAAATACTAGTAAGATAAGTGACAGAGAGAGATAGGAGGTGATAGATCTCATTGTGCATGCTCTAGAAAGAGAAAGAAGATGTAAGAGACAACCTCATGTATATACAACCCATGTGTATTGGACACATTTGAGCGAATGTTCATAGAAGAGAGGGATGTGTGCAACTGTGCATCATATGTGGAACAAATGTTTCATGTGGGATGGACCGCGCTTCTACAATATGCGGTCCAGATGTATAAAGCATCTATCCTAAAGATGGATGCAAATAGGTAGTCCATCTAAAAACAATTGTAAATAACTATCCAAATGTTTTTTTAGTACAATCATTATTTCTAGTTTTCAAATTTTTTTTTTTCATAGTCAAGGTCTCCATATTAAAGCTTGTATATTATCTAAACATTAGGATCAAATTATAGTTTAAAAATATATTTATTGCAAAGCTTACATTTCTACAATATGTGGGGTGGCCGCATGCTAACTGGGTCCTAAGGAAAAATATATAATAATATTATTCATTTTTAGTACAAGAAGATCATAATCATTTGAATATCAAGTGGCTAGCCAAGTGCGTACCAGTGATCAAGCTTAAAGTGCAAATAAAAATATCTCCAACTCCTTTATACACTCTAAGCCGTTATTTTTGTAGTGGCTAAAGATGATTATGACTTCCTTATACTCAAAATAAATAATTGTTTAGTATTTTATCCTTGTTATTTATTAGAAAGAAATACAAAACATCACCATATCAAAGAAGAAATAGCGAAAGAAAATGATTGTTACCAAACTTAAAGAAAAAGGATTGGCAACATGATTGTTACCAAACTTAAAGAAAAAGGATTGGCAACCTAGCTTGTCCACCCCAAAAACTATGTCAGACTGATGGATACGCTGGTTGGATCAGAGAATTAGCCGAATCGGCAAGTTTTGGCCCAAAAACATTTTAAAAAAAATGACTACAGTGGTAATTGCATCATGATTTCTTTTATATACATAAAAAAAATAGAAATACTGAGAACATGTTTCATTATTCTATACAATAACAAATTAACAGTAAGTTATTTGCTGATGTTTATAAAAGTTATAAATACATTAATCTGAAATCACAATTTGTACTAAACATGAAAACAATATAATCTATATAATAAGAAAATTTTATTAAATAACCTAGCAATTTAATATATTAAATTATGTGATATTTTAATGTATTTACAACAATAAAAATTTCAATATAGTAGCAACACATCGGATCCCATTTTATTAACAGATCCAACACACCTCTGATGATACCCAATCCGGATCAGGCGAATCCGGATCCAAATGACGTTTTCTAAAACCTTGATCGCAATGATTACCCCAATTTATTCACTCATTCACCTTTCCATTTATTTCAATGTGGACAACGGAGACATCTAATCTCTCGTATCATTCAAACCAAACTGAAGGGATGTATGCAATAGGGAAACAATAAATGAAGACAAAAGAGAGATATAGAGATAGAAAGGGGGCAAATATCAATAGTAGATAGAAATGGAGCATATGTCAATAGTTTCAAATCAAATTGGAGAGATTAGTGGTGGCAATGGGCCGGGTGGCCAGCATTGAAAAACTAGGGCCAGGCCTGGGCCCGGTGAGGCCCAGCCCCTTACTCTGTTTTATTTATTTTCGTTTAGTTTTCTTTAAATTTTACCTTGTTGGGCCAAGCCCGGCCCAACATGTCCTGGACCTGATAGAGCGAAGGCCAGGCCGAGTCGGCCCTAAGGGGAATAGGGCCAGGCCATCCCCGGCCCAAGCCCAACCCATTGACAGCCCTATATTCAGGGGAAAAGGAATGTATGAGAGATTCTATACTTTCTCTTTTTGGGTGAGTTAGTAGGGAGAGGGCCCCTCTACTCTCGGTAGGAATTGAACCTAAGATGTAGCGTTGCAAATTGTTAAGCGCTAATTTAGCCCGGGCTCTATAGAATTAGACTGAGAAAGAAAAGAACTAAAAAGAATGTATCCTTGGAAAGGAAAAGAATAGGGTTTTCAAGGTTAGGGTCGTGACTTCTTTGTAATATACCATATGGTAGGTCAGAGACCAAATAGTAATTTGGTTGGTAAATAATACAAACCAAACAAACATACTAATATTGGGTACAGTATAAGAATTTTAAACAAAATAATGTTAGATAAAATAAAATTAATTATCAGCTAAATAGGCCTTTAGAATACCCAAAATCAGAATTTGCATAATGCCAAAAGTTTATCTGCTGAACTTATCAAGGTGCATTATTTTGGGGATGTAACCTCCTTGCCATGAAAAAGAAAAAAAGAAAAAAAAAAGAGAGAAATAACAGAAATCATATACACTCTATCTTTGATATCGATAAAAATGGCATTTTAAGATTAAATATAACTATTCAACATTGGGCATGGTTTGTATAAGGCCGAGGTTCTAAACAATCAAAAAAGGCGCACCTTCACCTGCATTCTATGTCTCTTGTTTTACAGCTGAAATTATCAAAGTCACGGTGTCGACTAGTTTTGGTTAATGTCACTCATGTTAAAACCAATACTGGGCTATTCTCAGACATTTTCTGGTCTTACTCATTTCGCTTCCACCATTTGGAAGGTTTATCAGATTGTTTATTTGCTTGCTTTGTGTGTACTGATGCCTGATGTTATGGCATTGACACATTTTATGCAAGTTGTTCTTCATGCTTCATGCTTCTTTCAACTGAAACAAGACTGAATCAGCTACATAAATTGGCATTCTTGAGAGTGCTACACTTGGTTTCGGCATTGCTGTCATTATTATACAAAGGTGTCTATCTTCTTTGAATTTTAGTTATTTGACGATTAAAATTATGAAATCCATTTTTGTTGGAATGAAAAATGAAAGCGCTACCATTTGTTAGTTAAATGAATCTATGTTTTTTGTAGGCTGGTGATTATTTGTCCAATGCATGTTGGCTGCGATCTGCTTGTTTTAAGCCGTTTCAGCCAGCCATGGAATGCTCGAGAAACTACCTCGAAAAGAGAAACCCACATACCAGCAACTGAAAGACAAAGAAAAACCCATTATAATGGATAACTTCACTTAGACAACGCGGTGAGTGGGAATGGATGCAGTGCACAACCATGGAAGTAAAAACCACGCGAAAACATTTCTAGAGGCTGAAAATATAGAGGAAGACGATGAGTCGGTTCTTCTTAGTCAAGGAAAAATTTCTAGCAATGAAGAAGATAGATTTGCTGAGTCTTCTGATTCATCTTCTCATGACCTCGAATTGGGTTTCAGAGGGGAGCCAAAAATGGAACAAAAAGTGATTCTTGAGCCTTCACCATCTATTCCCGAGCCCGATTGCATGGTTGATGGGCATGGCTATGAAGGGCTCATGCTCTTGCGGTCAGTTCACTCTGATTCGGTTCAAGCACCAGGCGTTTCTCTCTTACCCCCTGGGCCTTCTGATACCCAAGGTTTCTCAAGTGTGTCTAAGTAATCACCACCAATTCAAGTGATGTATAAATCTGAATATTCAAACCCATCAATAAGTAAACCTGAAACCCCAAGTGCCAAACAATATAGGATCCCTTCTTCTGTTTTTGCTAGAACAAAGTCTCAAACACCCATGGAATGGAGTGTGGCCTCGAATGAATCTTTATTTAGTTTTCATGTTGGAAATTCTAGCATCCTGAGAGACCATGTTTTCCTGCTTGAAAGTCGGGAGCTCACTAATTTCTCAAATAGCCCTCCTTTGGGGTCTCGTCCTATACCGTTTGTAGTGGGGTCTGATGCCAGAGAGGTGGAAGACGAGCATGATTTGGGAACTGAGGTTAGCACTGATGATAAGGACGATGCTCAAATTTTGCTTGAGGTTAGCACTGATGATATGGAGGATGCTCGAATTTTGCTTGAGGTTTACGTCTCCTGATGAACCTGTTGGTCCTTCAGGGAAACCTGCTCCAGCATCAGTGCCTCATTCTTCTAGTATCTCTCACCATTCTAATGATAGTGGAACCAGCATCCGCTCTTTTGCATTTCCTATGTATGCTCTCTCTCTTTCTGTGGCACACACACACCAATTTATATTGTTATTTAATATAGATCAATGATCGGATTGGCTTACTTTGCCATTGGAGTTTATGCCTATTTATTGGCTTACTCTGCCATTGGAGTTTATGTAAATAGGCACAAGAAGGTGTATCCAAATCCAGTGGCCTAGAAGTCACATTCTACTTTTCTACATGGTGACTTAAAGTCTACTCGATCATATCACTATAAATTATTGGTCATTTTCACTCTTAAAACGAAATTCCTTTGTCGATTGTTTTTTGTTTTTTGTTTTTTGTTTTTTGATTTTTGTTTTTTGTTTTTTGTTTTTTGTTTTTTGTTTTCTGTTTTTTGTTTTTTGGTTTCTTAATTTACTTGCCGACTAAGACAAGTACTAATTTGGGGCCCTCTTTCTCTCTTTCATGAGGTTGCCTTTGACAATTATGTGCAGACTGACTGAGGGAGGACACAGCGCATCTGTGAAGAAGGTTGGCGATGACCCTACCCAAATAAGTCGGACAAGTCAGAAGAAATGGTATTCATGCATCTGCTGCTGCCAATTCTGCTTTTGAGAGGGTATGCACAGTTCTCCATTCTACTCCCCCCACCCTCCTCCTCCTCTCTCTCTCTCTCTCTCTATTGTGAATGTCATAGTTTAGCCAGACTGTACAGACAGCTTTGGTAATGCATTGCTCAATTTTGTATTACGGCCTGTATATTTGAGTTCTATTGACTGAACTCGGAGGTTCACTAATTCACTTGGTTCCCTTGTGTCTCTTCATGGAGAACCTCTGAAATCAAACATTCTAACAAGCTCCTCTTGCATCATTTTCTTTGGTTCACTTTCTATCTCCTAATGTGAAATATGGATTGCATCTGTGTCAACATTAGATACTGCAATAAATCATTTGCCTATAACTCTCTGAAACTAACCCATTTGATTTTGCCTGCCATTTTCAGGTTCGAAATGTGAATATTCAGATTGTAAGTTTGTAACTTAGAGGTCCCCAGTGTAATACCGTTGATGCTGCTCTTGTTCGATAAAAAATGTGGTATGCATGATGAGAATTGTATGAGTTTGGACCTCTGAACTCTACTGAACATTACTGCAATATGCATATTTTAAAAGAGTACATGAACTTACAACAAATGACTTGCACAAAGAGAGTTTATTCCTCTGCTCCCCATTACAAAATGACTGATAATTCGTATGTAAAAGCTAAAACAGTTCACAAACTAAATATACCAGAAAAAAAAAACAGAGGCAAAGTGGATCCAATTCCATAAACTTAATTACATTTTAACAATTTGTCAGCTTAAATAACTTTCAAAAGCTCCATAAACTTAATTACATTCAACAATTTGTCAGCATAAATAACTATCAAAAGCAATGGAGATTTTTCCTAACACAATTGCTGAATTCATCACTCTATAAAATAATTTTTCCCGTAGAAAACCACTAAACTGTGCTAAAAAAATGCTGCATGCAAAACCACTGAAATGTTGCCAAAAAAAAGGTCTCTAATCTTCCAAACCACTGAATTGTGGACCCCAAAATCCTCTTTCTGTGGCTTCCTAAACTCCTGAATTATGCCTCAAAGATCATGAAAAGTCTAGATCTCACATAACCAGCATAAGCAGGCACCACCTCCAACATATAGCAAATTTCAAATCCTCATCTTCAATAGGCTTCACCCCATTAAGATCCATAGCCCCCATTCTTTCTTCATTCCTTCTCTCTCTTCCCCATTCTTTCTCTCTCCTCCCAATTCAACTTGAGAACCCATTGTCAACCTCTTTGAAGAATGATGAGCTTTCAACTTCGCTAGATGCTTCTTTCTGTCAAAATGTTTCCTCATATGGCCACCTAAAGCCTGACCTGAATTGAACCATTGGTTACACTTAGTGCATATATGGCTCCCTTGCCTTTCCGGCGAGAAATTGGCAGGAATTCTGCTGATTTTGGTCTTTTATTGACAGATACTTTCAAGAAGGCCACTGATATCTCAGACCCAATTCCAGAAACTTGAACATCCTCTTGTGATACTTCCTCCTCCTCAGAGTTATTAGCCGCAGAGCCTCCAATGAAAAGCTTCCTCTTCTTTGAATCATGGCAGTTTGAACTGATTTCACCTTCTTGGGGTGTGCCAGAATTAGTAGCTGTCTCAATAGCTCTCGCCTCCCTCTTCACCTCCGTCTTCTTCTTCCATTGGCCACGACGGTAAACTAAGAAGCTTTCATGGAGGATTTCACTCTTTTTGGGATCCGATTCTAGGCTTTCTTTGTCAGTTTCTTGTTTTTTCAAGAAACCCAATTCCTCCAAATTTCCATGAGATTGAGGAAGAATGGGTAAGTGATGCACAGTTTGTTTGATGCTTTTTGAAACTCCCTCAAATCTCTGTCTCTGCAATCTTTACTTTCGGACCTGGCAGTTTTGTTCTTTCTTGTTCCAGATCCAGTGACCAACCAATTTGAGAGGGGAGGAAGAGGATAATGTTTTTTCGAGCTCTCTTCTGTTATGGTGCTATTGGTATGGTATGACAAACTTTCCACAGAATTCATCTGTGCGCCATTGCTGGAATTTTTGACCTGCAGGTTCCTCTCATTCTTTTTGGCTAGTACAGGCTTTTCCGGTGGCTCAATCCCTCTCCAATCTCTCTTTGGGTGGCACCTCATGTGGCCAAACTGAGCCTTCATCAAGGGAAATTTCTTGGTGCACAGAGCACACACTGGTTCTTGTTGGGTATGCTTTGTTGTTTTCTCTGTTGTTGTGCTCTTTCTTTCTCCTCTGCAACCATCCTTTCTCCTCTCGTGCTCATCTTTCAAACCTATCTTATCACTGTCAGTGAAACCTGCAAAAACACAAAACCATCAAACTTCGATTTGAGAAAAACCCATACCACAATACTGTGATTACAAAAGAACCGATATAAAAATAAATGATTCAGAAAGACGCAGTCAAGGAAATTATTAGAAAAAATCTTGATTAAAAAAGTACGCAGATAAGGAAAAGAATCTTGATTAAGGAAAACATTAGGAAAGAACCCATATAATAAAATCTTGATTAAAAAATTATCCGTACAAGGAAAATATTCCTGAAAGAAGTAGCTCAAGAACCTGCAAAAACTTACCATAATTGGATGCATGGGTTTTAACGTGAGCTCCGAGAGATCGCTTTGAGCCAAGCAGAGCTTGCAGCTATAATGGCCTAAAACTCCAGCGACCTGATCAAATTGAGAAGTAACTGATTCGCGGGAACGGATTTGACATCGAGATTCTGTTTTCTTGCCCACCTTGAGCCTGATCGTTAACCTTGGGGTTGATTGGTTTCCATCAATGGAAACTGGTTTGGACTCAGAGCCAGAGGAATTTGAAAAATCAGAGATGGAGTGTTCCATGGAATCAGAGAAGGGAAGATAAGAAAGACCAAGAATTAGAGGGAGAAAGAGGCAGAGGTACGCAATGAACGAGGAGGAGGAGGAGGTGGAGAAGGGAAAACAAGACTTAAAATCGACGGCAAGACTTAGAGAGGGAAACAATTAGAGAGAGAAAGAGTGCTCTGATTCTTTTCCTCCTCAACTGTCAGGATCGACGGTCAGGATCCAATTTCCCATTTTTTTATTTATCTAACTTAAATTTTAAATTTCCTTTAATATTGTCTCACCTTAAATTGTTTGTTTCCGTTAGTTTTCTACTTTTATACCAGAGCATAGTATATATACTGTGCTCCTTTGGGAGCATACTTTACTTTTATACCCTCACTTATATGACTTCTTTGGGAGGATTTGTTTTCAATCTGAAATTTGGGTAATCACATTAGAATTACTGGATGATTAATCTCATTTTTATTTATTTAATTAATTTTTATTTTTTTTGAAATTTGAGTTTTCTAACGGTTAAATCTCGTTCTCTAAAAATTGGACGGTTTCCATTCAATTTTAAGATTTTTTTTTTTTTCCAAGTGCTTAGATAGTGCAATTAGGAAATAATTTTTTATTGAAATTAATCTGTCTGTTAAAGATGTTATATCCCCAAATTTTGTTGTCCTAAGACTTATCCTAGGTGGGGATCTATATCAGGGAATAAATGCATAGCGTGCTCTAGTGGGGTTCTATATCAAAGAATAAATGCATAGTATACCCCCAGGGAGCAGAATGCCTTTTTGCTTTATATCATGGGTGACGTTTGTATATGGTTGCCTCCTTACAAGGCGCACCTCTAAAATTTACTTTGTGATATCGTTTTGGTGTCGTCAATGCATACTATAGAAATAAGGCGTGATGTTGTGTTGGTGTCGGCTTGAAAATATATTTTCATATGTAGTTATAAAATTCAGAATTTATAAAATAATATAAATTTGGATTTGAAATTCTTTTGTTACTTTCTATCCATGCATGTCAAGGTCGAGAAGATGAAATGGGATTCTCAATCATGGAAAAGGTATCAATTCGAGGTTGCCTCCTTGTACTATAGAAATAAGGCGTACCTCTAAAATTTATTTTGAGATGTCTCGTTTGGGTGTCGAAATTGAAATTCTATTTTCATCCATAGTTATAAAATTTAGAATTTAAAAAATGATACAAATCAATAATATTAATAAACACTTGAAAAATCTTAAAAATAGATGGTCCAAATAACATGTTACAATATATACTATTTTTTAGATGAGTGATGATCCTATAGGACCCTCCCCCACCCATGTGTGTAGGTTCCTAAAGAATCACCATTAAATTTGGTACGGATCTCGAGAAAGTTATCACATGGGTGTGAAACTTGACTTTTTTAGAGATCTGTATCAAATTTAATGGTGATCCTTTGGGGTCATACACATATGGGTGGGGGAGGATCCTATAGGATCATTTTTCTTTTCTTTTTTAAATT